AAATTTCAACTGTAACTGTTGAATTAAAGAAGTTAAATATTTAAAAATCCTAGTAAGAAATTAATTTGAGCTCGTTGATGTGCCGTACAGTATAAATTTAGAACCAACGGTTCAACTAGGATAAGCGTATTGCACTTCTAATTCCAGCTAACATAGAAACGTGAACGAGGTATCTCTGATATCGACTAATAGCTGTGTTAAAATGTATCACTAAATGAAATTAAAAATAGTTCATTACCCACTTTCAGGGCAAAAATAAATTTCTCTTGTTTTCTGAGGTAAAGTTGGAGGTATGAGATAATGTGGAGAATGTGGTACCTTTTTTTAGGTGTGTTAAATCACAGTATCGTCTTCCAGCTACTATCAGCTGTCCTTAAGTTTGGTACATGTATTCATAATTTAATTTTATCCTCAACTCTTTTCCATTGTTGGCATACAAGTAAGGTTCTGTGACTTGAATAATCACTTGGTTTCTGCTGCTTTATTGATATTTTACCTTTAAAAAGGTCAATTGTACGAGTACTTAGCTTATGTAGAGATGAATTGAAAAGAGAATGCGTTCTTATTATAAAAAAGCCACATTCTCGGTTTTCGATGGATGGTGCCAGTATTTTTGTATTAACGGTTTCACAACAATATCCTCGTGCTTTTTTACAATTACCAGCTACACACTCACAGTGAGAACCTTATATCTCACCTCTGTCTAAGAGTTTCACTGTACAGCTCAACAAGTAACATCTTTATACATCTCGGCATGGCAACCACGTTTTATGAAGCGGCTATTATGCATTACTTCTCCATTATAATTTATCACATTATTAAGTACTGATTTTCCTGTAGTGTTTGATTTTTAGTCTTTTTGACAAATGTTTACCTTTGAGCATACTAGTGTGCATTCGGATTTATGCTTATATCTTTGAACATGTCATTAATAGCTTTGAAATGAGGTGCACTTCTGGTATCCTTAACTTTTACTATATTCCTAGCTATTTGTAGCTGTAAATAAAATAGCCTACATACTACAAGACACTAAGATATACATTTCGTCATAATTGGCGCATTAGCAGAGTTAGCTCACAAACATTGTTATTGCAGCGCTACGATAGAATCCCACTGTTATCATGTTTTAATTGTCCATATAAGTCAACTGTTTCTAATGAACTCATGTCACACTCAAGGTGCTATTGCCTAGATCAATTGCTGCACAATGAATAAGTCGATCTTAATAATCTTCGCCGCATGCGTCGGCTTCGTTTTAGCAGTAAGGAAAAAAGTTTTTTTTTTTTTATTAACGTACTTACACTTTTCTGTACAACGATAGAATTTAATACCCTTTTTTGATTTCTTTTATGGAATCATTAGTGCTTTTTTTGATGTTTTCATTTGTCATTTTTTAATTACAGGAACCAACAAGCCAACCAATCGTTCGAGATTCTGTATTGCTCAAGCTGCAACAATTCTGTAATATTGAATCTAATTTTGATCAAGGTAACAATTATATCATGTCTATAGTACTCCACGCAATATTTAAAATAAATTTTCATAATATTTGATCGACTTAAAATTTGAATGATTTGTTTCAGTCAAACTTGAAAAAATAAAATACGTTCGTAGGTATCCATCCGACGACAGTTATTTTTGTTACACGGGTTGTTTTATCACTAAAATAGAATATGTACGTAAGACAAATTGTTATTCATTTGACATAATGTATGATAATAATTGACTATTTTCATACAGGGAACAAAGGAGAGAGTCTTTAATGAAAAATATGTCAAAGCCGCGCTCAAACGAACACTTACCGAAAACACGGCAAACAACCTCATCGCCAATTGCAAAAATGTCCCAGGTAAATAATTCACGTTTTCACTTTTTAATACAATCATTTTAGTGTATACAGTTAGACTGTATGGTGGCTTGCGTTCAATTTACTCGAGTGCTCGTATGAAGTCATACCATATATCAGGTCATATGGTCAATCAATTTAATTTGTTGTACACCTAGCAGAACTGAACGCTCGATACTAAAAAATTGGTTAATACTAATTTTTATATTTTGTGTTAAAATCAAACTGGAAAAATTTTTTTTTTCTTAGTACATCCGTCAATTGATTTTTAATAAAAAAAATTGTTCATGAGTACTCATCTTTGACTGCAAGGTTATTATATACTTCAAATATATTTACATAATATATATATGGAAAGTTATAAGTTTAAAGTTTTTTTGTTTATTTATTTATATATATGGAAAGTCCGAACATGTTTATGTTTATCATACTAATCATAAATGATTTTAAGTTTAAGCTATCAAATTTTAAGCCATGACGTTGCATAGTACGTACCTATTTATGGCGAAGAAGGTGATAAAATTTTATGTGTTTATGTTTTAGTGACAAAAAATGTATGTGAAACTGGAAAGAAGATGCACAACTGCTTTGTAAAGTACGGAACCGTTTTGGCAGATTTTATCGGATACACTGACAATGATATCATTTAATAATCGAAAAAAAATGTACGATTGAAATGTACTATTTGTTTTATAATTAAGTGGAAACGTAGAAACGACGTAATTAACTAACAAGCGTATCATTTTTGTTGTTGTAAAAAAAGAAGAAAAAAAATTACTTAATAGAGGTTTTTTAAATTATTATCGTTTTGGTGTATTAATAAACAAATATGTAAAAATTATTAAAAAATAAAAGTCAATTGAAAATTACATGCTGGAGTATTTACAATCGAAATCCCAAAGTCATACGGTATAGAGGTAAGTAAAATGACGTGAAATGATGCATACACGTACTTGCGGGCGCGGCCGTGGACTGCCGATTCCCTGAGACAACTTTGAAAAGAGTCTCTCGTGAGTATTGGTCAATCTTTATTGCAGATCATGCAGACAGCAGAGAAAGCGTGCAACTGGCCGCACACACACGCCACGTGTACGTACAGACGGGCCTTAACTCGCACGAATTTGGCGACGTTACGTATCATACATTACCGATCTCTTGCCGATTGTGTGACGCTTACACGCGCTCTTGCATTGTCGTTGTTTTAGCTGCCGTCTCTGATTTACGAATCTTCATATGTGACTCATAACATATGAAGATTCGTAACTTTTATTTATATTACCCAATATCGGTACTTGTGAAGAATGTGAAAAAAAAAGTCAAAAATACTTGCGTACGAATCTATCGAGGAAAGGATAAATGAAAAAAAAGTTACAAAGTGAGCATAATTTTAAATTTTCAAAAAATAGTGTCATTTTATTTTGCTTAGTATGTACATAAATACATGTACAACAAAAAATTGGTTCCACTGATGATTGATGTACTCAAATCTTGAAGTATGTAGACTCGAAACACAATTTTGTACATGTACAACACACACCGCACACTCTCTTAAACCGAATCAGCTGCTGATGGTATTCAAGACACTAGTAAAAATACAAACTCAATATCCATTGAAATGTCCTATGAAAAATCAGTGACTAAATTATCAGATTTTCCGCTGATTCGGCTCCAGAAAGTACATTAATACAGTCTTAACAGTAAGTTAGGTACATCAACATGATATGGCAAGCTATCGACGTCAGGCACAACACAAAGAAGTACTTAATAGGAGTAGAAAATTATCGAAAGAGAACTAACAAACTGTACAATCGGTCATCACCCGGCAACTTAGTGATAGTAGCCAAAAGGGGCAGCAGCATACGACTTGTAGGCGATGGCCGGGGCGGCAGCGTAGGCAGCTGGGGCGACGTACGACTTGTAGGCAAGAGCTGGTGCGGCGTAGGCAGCTGGGGCGTAGGCAGCCGGGGCAAAGGCAGCTGGGGCAGCGTACGACTTGTAGGCGATGGCTGGGCCGGCAGCGTAGGCAGCTGGGGCATAAGCAGCCGGGGCGGCATAGGCAGCCGGGGCGTATGCGGCATAGGCAGCTGGGGCCAGTTTGGCGACTGGGGCAGCGGCGACCACGGGGGTGGCGATCTTGGCGACGACGGGGGCGGCCTTGACGGCGACGGCGACGGGCTCCTTGCGGACGACGGCGTTGAATCCGTTGAGGGGATCGACGGTGTAGTCGACGATGCGGCGGGTGCCATCGGACTCGATGAGGGAATACTGGCCCTGGACGACATCTCCGTCGCGGGTCTCGGACTGGGCCTTGAAGTCACCGGTCAGGGAGTCCTGGACGTCGTAGCTGTAGCTGTACTGGGGATGGGGGTCGTACTCGGTGTCGACGGTCTTGGCAACCACGGCACTGGCGATGGGAGATGCAGCGTAGGCCACTGGAGCTGCTGCGTAGGCCAGAGGAGCCGATCGGAGGAGACCAGCGTTGGCGTAGGCCACGAGGGCGCACAGGACGACGAACTGGAAACGAAGATCGGAAGATTTATTGACGAGGAAAGAAAAGTATGTTTGTTAATAATTTCACCAAAGATCAGTTCATCAGCACGCGAGCATCACTATCGAAACATAACTCGGAAAGAGTAATTTTGTGTTTGGTACAAAGTATTCAAAAGCACGACAACAATTAAATTGGACTTTGAAAAAAGCGCGCACTCGAAATTTCCCTATATTATTTCCAAGAAAATCGATTAACGTTATACCTTGAATGCCATTGTGCTGCTGCAAATAGTGTTGTGAGCTGTGTGTTACTCGAGCTGAGAGGAGCAAGTGATGCCGGTCCTAACGCCATCCAGCCTTTTTATACAACTCCGAATCTAAAAGGCCTCCCCGAAAAAAGTAACAAAGAAGCAGCCAGGCCGTTTTATTTTCCCCACCTCCTTTTTTCTCTTCGGTCGGTCGGTATAGGCGCCCAACAATCCCCGTGCGCGTGCATATGTGGTATCTCCCGCTCTGGTTTACATTTTACCTACGTTTACGGCGCTACTGCTCCCCTCCCACCAACGGGTACAAGCGTGTAACGTATAGACGAGGATATTGGGCGCGAAAAATTGGGCAAGAAATTCGGGAGATCGGGTGGAGCCTCGCGCTCTCGCGGTGCATGGACACCACCAGTGTACAAACGCGCACTCGCCCGACGCGAACGACCTTGCCAAGCGCGCCGGCTTGACGCGTGATGGCTCTTGCGCAACGCAACCGGTGCGCATAACAGTGCGTACCACCTCCGTTTTACCTCTCTCTCTTTTTTTTTTTTTTCAATTCCGGCTCATTGATCGATAGATCGGTGAGCTAAACGATCTCCCTTGGCGGGGAATTTGATCGCCAACGGTAGCGCCAAAGGAAACGATACAGCGTTTGATGCTTTGCGCTGAAAACTATAAAATGAAATTACAGAGCCAGCTGCTGTTTTGTCCATCGCTTGAATCTTTTTTTTTCGCGAGAGTAGTGCAAGGGCGTGGACAGTATGGCGTTTCGTAATTTTATGTGTGTGTACACACGTGCAGCGTCCGAACACCATATCAACCGCAACGAGTGATGCAATTTCGTGCACATACACCGAGGAAAGACACATTTTTAATTTACGCGAGGTAATGAAAAATCAAATTGGTTTTATCTGGGACCGATTATCGCTTTGTTACACGAGGACAAAAATAGCTGCGTGTGTTTACCTCGTTGGTCTTCGTTAGGACGACTACATTGCAAGTACATACGAGCAAAGTTAAATTGTTTCGCATCGTTTAACGAGCATTTACGATCATATAAATCAGTGCGAAATCGTCGGATAAAAATTTCAATTAGGATATACTTACACGTCGAAAATTTCCAAATTACACGGGTAAAAGTCCGCTTTGTCGCGCTCTCTCTGCGATATACGTAACTGAAGGCCGAGTATAGGTTGCACCTGTTTTGCTTATGATGTTTTTTGTTACGGCGGTTCATGTGCGCGAGTAGAATGTTTTTTTTGTTTTTTTTTGATGAAAATTTTAATAAGCGAGAAAGCGTCCGTTTCGCTTTTGTGACGAATCAAATTAGGAATGTTGTTTATCGCACGACAACGCCAAGTGGAGCGATTGCGTGACGTTATGTTGTGTAGGTGAAGTTGTAAAGTCGTAACGAAAGCGAAAATCGGGACTCACCGAATCGATAAAATCGATACGCATATCCTCGAAAAGTGAAACGATGACCGTGAAACTTTGGTCTGATCGAAACTTTTCGGGCTTTGAGATTTCGCGATCAAAAAGTCAGAAAAAAAAAAACACGTGCAACGTAGGAATGCAACGACGCGTTTTTCAAGAGACAAACGCAATTATCCAGGGTATTACAATAAACGTTGCGATAACTATACCACTTGTTGATGAATATTCATTGCAAAGTCTACTTGCGAGCTTGACTATTTCCTCAATGGTATGCGCGACGCGAGAGAGAGAGATCGTGTGTGACAATCGGGGTTTTACCGCTTAAACTAGCTATGTATAGGTCAGGTAGTATTATAAATGTAGTTTGATCTATTTAAAAAAAAAGTTATTTAAGATTCGTTGTTAACTGATATTTTACAAGTCAGTTGGTTTTTTTTTATTTGTTTATTATTTTACCAAATCATATCATTTTTCTAAAATGTGCATACACATTTAAGTTAATATAGTTTCAAACAAATTAATCGTATTCATAAAGTTTTGATGGCTTTAGTAGGGAAAAAATTTTTTCAAATTATATTCCGAGGATTTTTAACTGCTTAACGTGCATTTTTTTTTATCATTCAATTTAAGAGACTCTCGTTAAAACCCGTTAATATTGTCATTCCATCCAATGTCAAAGATATATATCAAATAACTCAGGAGAGAGTGTTTTAACATACTTGAAATTATAAGATTGAGAGAAAATAGTACTCAATAGTATATATTTTCGAATCGAAAAAAAAAGAAGCTTTCGATACATCAAAAGGGTAAAATGCCAAAATTTCTGAACTCGAGATCTGGTGCTCGATCCAATATTTTCCGACCGCTAGAAAGAGATGCATCGACGCGACAACACTCACCTCATCGGGTATCCCTTACTTATAGGAATCATGATAAACTTTCAACTTTCCCATTCAAGCACACGTAAGCACGCAAAGTCCGGGGCGTTGAATTTTTTCGAGCAACAAGGCCATGCGCTCACACGCACCACGAGAGTAAATCCTCCGAAGCTACACACACTCGCTTATACAAATGCATTCGAGCGGTGGTGATTGCAGTTAGCGAAAATTGAAAACTCCGCGACCTTCGCGCCATCCCGCCCATTGTCTTGCTCTTCTCCCCTATAACATTTGCGCTGCAATCAGGGAACGGCTCACTCGTCCACCCGAAGCGTCGAGGCTCGAAAATGCTCGGAATGCCATGTCCGAATGACCAAATACTCGAGAGTCGCGACGGAGAGATGAAAAAAAAAAAAAAAAAAACGAGAGCGAGAGGAGAAGGATTGCCGGGCGTTTGGTGGTTCCGGCACCCGGAGGCGAGTTCACCCTGGCGCGGCCTTCACACTGCACGCGACTTTGAAAGTCCGAGCGGGCACTAAAATCCGAGGGTACGCGCACAACTACGGGCGCGCGAGGCCAAAGAAATTCACCTACGCCCTTGCTTTCGCCTTTTCGTTTTCCTCTCCGTTTTACTCTCTCCTCTCCTTTACTTTGTTACTCTTGCTGATGATGATGATGATGATGATGATGATGATGGTCTATCCTTGCGGTCAGCTGGCGAAGAAAATTACACGGATCCAATGACCATGACGATGTTATACTTGTACCAACGAGCTGTACCCGTCATTTGCTTCAACTTCTTTGGAAGCTTTTGCCTGGGCAATTATCAAAGGTAATGATGATGACTGCATCATAAGAAAAAAGTTCGACCCACTCGTGCAGGTCCAAGAAATTTTCTTCCAAATTTTTCGCTTGTGAAATCAATGTATAGTCACAGCCTTCTCGTGTTTGTTGTATTTTTTTTTTTTTTTTTTTTTCGACCGTGAAACGCTCCATTAGACCCCGTTGTAGATCGAATCGTTGGATTAGGCAATGCCGGCCATAGGCTTTGCCCTCGTTACCAATTTTTTTTACCTTTTCCTCGCCGCGATCACTCATCGCGCAGGTGTACATTGTCTCTTGAATGATACTTTGTTTTCACGATGTGTTAATGGAATTCAAAATGAAATCGATCGATAATCGTCATATTTTGGAGAAAAAAAAAAATGTTAACCCAGTGCCTGGGAGTGCAATAATATTATCCAAGTATCATTAAAAACCCCAGAAATTGTAACGAAAAACTGTTGGGTGTATCTCGTTACGTGAACCGATCTTCAATAGCCTTACACCACGCGGTGCATTATCGCAAGATAAAACCAATTAATCGGCACAAAACATCGGCGACAATCTTGATCAACGACGAGCGCCCGAAAATTATCATAGCTCATTAAAATAAAACACCTGTCACTGGACGTAATGGCGTGATGGCACATTACACGCATGAAATAAAAAAAATGAATTAAAATAAAATAATGAGCTTCGCACATTTCCGTTCTGGCCTCCCTGTCAGATGTATCGCTTGTTGTACGGCACGTGAACGCGAACAAAGGATCGGCCGCTGATTTTTTTTTGCTCTCCCCTGCCCAGACGCTCTCTCTCGAAAGCCACGCGCCTTTCACCCCCGAAGGTAAACCGCCCTCGCGATTTCTCGGTCAGCCAATGGTAAGCCGCGCCGATTCTTGCGCTAATGGGCGCCCGGCCAAGTTCAAGAGCAACTTTCGCCAAGGAAGCTCCGCGTCCCTCCTCGAGCTTCTCGAGCTGTCGTTGCCTCGCGAGGGGAGGGGCCGGCCGTGCTTCGAGGTGCCGATCGGGTATATAAGGCTCGGGCGGTGTCGGCACTCGGCATCATTGCACCTCCAGTCGATCCCCACAGATCCACTATCAACGCACAATGGCATTCAAGGTGGGTCATTGTCACCACGTAATAATATATACGGTTACACCTCGTATAGGCTATAGGACTAATAGAGCCTCGTGTCTCTCATTTTCTTGCAGTTTGTCGTCCTCGCCGCTCTGGTGGCTTGCGTCAGCGCTGGACTGGTGCCCGCGGCGCCGATCGCCTACGCTGCATCTCCCATCGCCAGTGCCGTGGTTGCCAAGACCGTCGACACCGAGTACGACCCCCATCCCCAGTACAGCTACAGCTACGACGTGGCCGACTCCCTGACCGGTGACTTCAAGGCCCAGTCCGAGACCCGCGACGGAGATGTCGTCCAGGGCCAGTACTCCCTCCTCGAGTCCGATGGCACCCGCCGCATCGTCGACTACACCGCCGATCCCCTCAACGGATTCAACGCCGTCGTCCGCAAGGAGCCCGTCGCCGTCGCCGTCAAGGCCGCCCCCGTCGTCGCCAAGATCGCCACCCCCGTGGTCGCCGCTGCCCCAGTCGCCAAACTGGCCCCAGCTGCCTATGCCGCATACGCCCCGGCTGCCTATGCCGCCCCGGCTGCTTATGCCCCAGCTGCCTACGCCCCAGCTGCCTACGCTCCGGCTGCCTACGCTGCCGGCCCAGCCATCGCCTACAAGTCGTACGCTGCCCCAGCTGCCTTTGCTCCGGCTGCGTATGCCCCAGCTGCCTTTGCACCCCAGGCTTATTACGCCAAGCACTTTTAAGCTGAGAGGTGATGGTAGACTGAGCAGCATGTCCACGGCGCCAGAAGGCACGGGCGCATGAACATCCTTAGTGGAACGACTATTAATTTATTTTTACTTCAAGAGAAACAACAGCAGCACGCGCACTTGTTATTATTATGACCACTTGACATCTTGATAAGTCAATAAATTTTTTTTATTATAAAATTTATACTCCTTGTCGTACTTTCAAATAGTGTGAGTCACTTCCTTGAGCCCCACAGATCCTCTCCCATTAAAACGTTTCAATACATTAGTATTGTGGTATTTCGTTCCAAAAAATCATAATGGCACGAAATTACATTTATACGTGCAGAGTGTATAAAGAAACCATTTTTCGAACTCAAAAAACTTCAAGTTATTAACTATTTTTTGCCAGAATAAAAATGTTAAGAACGAAAAATTAAAATGAAACTATACAGCAGAGAGTTTTTAATTGTTAGATTTTCACGTGTTCCTGTACATACAGCAAGTAAAAATGGTATTCAAGCCATTGGAAACGATTTGCATTAAACAAAACACGTACGATTAAAATGTACGTATTAGAAATGAATGTCCTAAAATTTTCCTAATCAGTAAAAAAAGTTTTCAAAAATAAGATGCCCCTCCGTTTCTCTCACCTCACCTCAATCAAGCTACTTGTACACTTACGCGTGCATAAATTTTCCAATTTTTTTTCCCCCCTTCATGGTATTCCTATTCCGTTCCTCGACAATTTACATTCACCTCCCGTTTGTAGCTTCTCGCGATTTCGGGAATCCACACGAGCAGCGCATTCTCCGAGCTCTCGCATCGCAACGAGTGTCCTTGACGGTTTGCAAAAGCCACCGTAATAACCCCGACACGTCGTTTCATTGTTTTTTTTTTTTTTTTTTTTTTTTATAACGTAGAGAGCCAATGCAGCAACGGCCCAGGCCACGCCCGAGCGACAGTTTCGCCTTCAAGATCCTTGAAAAAAAAAAGTACTCACACCTTTCTCTGTGCCAAGGTGTCTCCAAGAAGCTTCGTGGGCTGCTATCGTGGATTCAGCTCAAATTCCAGACTATTGCGGATCCGCGTGTGGTGGACTAAGGTATACAATTGCCAGACTGCGGCCGTAGGGGTGGATGAAGGGTGAGTTTTTTTATCGACCTTTTATGATTTGACACTTTTCACGAGATTAAGAGCTGTTTGATTTTCACCGTGGATAGTAATAATTTAATTTTTTCGTTCAAGCGTGTTGTAAAAATAACAACAAATGCACTTCAATACTCGAAACCATTGCAATAAAACCATACGCTCGGGGCACTCGCGAGATTTATCTTTTCGATGGTTGCGGGGATATGTTTTTTCGATTGTACCGCTCGGAGTCGATGAGAAAACGAAAAATAAAGGTACACATCTCCCTCCTTTCTCTCCCCTCCTTATTGTTCTCCGGCGACTACACGCGAGGGCCCTGAAATTTTCTTCGTCCTTTTTTCCAACCCATCCCGCCGATGATATTTATTCCACTGTCATCGAGACAAAGACATAAAGTGACTCACGCGGGCAGCATCTCTCGTTCCTATCGCTCGCATGTGTGTGGGTGAAAATACGCGAGACGTATAAATTTTACTGCCATCCGAGCAAGGCCCGTCTTCTTGTCTCGGGTATACTTTTCAATTTTCGGATCGAAAAGTCTCTTGGTTCGTACATACACGTTATAAAGTAGCTTTTTGAAAACGTGTCCGACTTAGATTCGTCTGTTTCTACTAGTCTTCATTTTCGTAGCAACAGACGCGAGGCCGTTCAATATAAAACTCCGGCTTATTATAACACGATACAGCATAAAAAACAATCACTTAATTGAGTGAACAAAAAAAAATACCTCTCGGTTGTGCCCGCGATNTCTACGTTTTTTTCATAAACTATTTAATTTAATATAAGTCATTTTTTATTTTATTTTAAAATATTTTAGTTATTACATTTAATTTTTGGTAACATAAGAAATGAGTCTTAAAGATAATGCTAAAAATCTTCTTTAAACGGATTCGTTGACCATTTAACGATATCATCGATTAAAGGCAAGTCACTTTTCTATTTTTAATTGGTAAGTCTATTTCATCGGTATTGAAAGCTTTTTTCTTTTCTACCCATTCAACCGTTTCTAGTATATCTTCGCATAAAAAAGAGATAGTAGCTCTTCATCACGCCGTTTTATTATTCGATTTGGTCGAACTTTTTTGAACGAGATATTTTTCTTGTGAAGTTGTTTTCTATGATATTTAAGACCCTTTTTTGTTGCGAAATAGATTCCACAGACATCGCACGTTCGATCTTTTAAATCTTTTTGGATTGATGGGCAAAAAAAGTCGTAAGGCATTAATTTAAAATTGCCTGTGTCTGGTTTGACAGCAATACGTATTAATAACGGAGCAAAGTCATCAAAACCATTTGGATTTGGAGAAGGGGCATTCAGTCCGGTAGAAGTTTGAGAAAGCGAATAAGGCGGTGGTAGAAATCTATCTTTTAAAATTGAAATCAATCCACTACGATGTGGCGTGCAACAAGAAATATTAGAGCATTTGATGACCTGCAAATAAACGTTGAAGTAAAACTCCAGCGCCATAGCAAGAAATCTCTAAGTATAAAAATGTTTCTTACTTGAAGTAAGTATTGGCTCTCTCGAACGTGTTTTGAATACCATTCAGCATCTGTAAATTCTGGCATCAACATTTCTTCTTCTAAATCTTTATATTCAGCAAAAACTTGGAATTTATCAATCATCATATTATTCCATATTTCTTCCAAAACATGACCAGCATATTTAAAGTTTTGTTTTTCCAGCTCAATATTTATAGTTTCACCGCTTTTACTTAAGTGCGCTCCAAACTGGTCATGTTCAAGAATAACTCCTGATAATTCTTTACTCAACGGTGCCATTCTGCGCTCAACCTGATTGTAGGCACTTCGTCCTGGCGCATTGGTAAATACATAAATAGTATCCAAATCATGTTTGATAGAATGACCGATAACATGTCCAATAACTTTTTGGTACCGGGGGTTCTCATTCGGTCCACTATCAACAGATAAGAATGCAATTGGTTTAACAGTTCCAGTTTTTTCATTAATCAGCATGTTTTTACATTCTTCTATTTCAAAAAGTCTATCAAAATCTAATGCATGGGTCAAGGCAGTTGAAGCCGAATGTTTACCACTTCATATAGAAATATATGTTGGGCCAGAATATGTGACTGCATCTGGCATTTCCAATTGATCAGGTTTTATAACAATAAGAGCATACACCGAAGGGACAAGTTTAAGCTTCTTTGCCACAACCCAGTCATGATCTGGCAAACGAATCTATAAATTTAAATATGTCTTAATTAGTATGATTGTTTGTTTTATTTTTAAGTGAAATTTTTTAAGAATATAAAAATATANAAAAAAAAAAAAAAAAAAAAGAAGTAACATAATCCTCCGAGCGGGCCGCAATGCGCGTCGTCACGCGTGCGTTGCACCAATTACAAGTTACTTAATCCTCACGTCGTCGACACCCACTTTCTACGGAAGTCCGTCCGTAAAGTCTCGTCTGTATAGGTCACGAGCGTCGTAGAGGCTTGACAGGTGTATTATTTAATAGGATCCGCGTCGCGTAACCATATCGTCAACGATGCGTGGAATTTCGCTCGTTGCAGCGTGGGCTCTGGGTGAAACTGCGACGACGCGTGCCATAAGCAATCACGCCAGAGTGCGGACGGCGCTACGTTATTCGGAACGTGGATCGATGTTACTCGGCACGTTACTCTTCTCTCGAGCGGTTGATTTTTCACCGGCACTTTGGATTCCGTCGAGGTTGCGTACAGCTCTAAAACCAGAACAAAGGGGTACAATAGTTGGCTGAAAGATTATATCACTTGTACCAAGTGCCGGGGGCGCGCCGTACCGGGGACTCATCAATAAGAGTGTAATCATCGAGCGCTAATGCACGTATACACACTCCGCCGGCTCGATCTACCGTGCACGGATTCGCCTCCGTGCAATTATTACCAGATCCATTAGGACGTACGCGCGGGACTGCGTGCTCGTAAAAACAGTTCCCCCCCCCCCAGTCTCACTGATCCATCGAAGGAGAGAAAAAATTAATCAATCCTAAGATACGTGACATTGAAAGAAAAAAAAAAAAATCAGAGCGCTACGTGCTCGTAGATATTTGAGAAACGCCGTGGGCGCTGAAAACAAGCAGCCCGTATCGCGCAGGTATTTCCGTGTTACTAATTGATTGCAATTCGACTGATGTGGTGTTGGGTGTAAACACCGAGAGCGCGTGAAAGTAAAGCAACTCCGTCAGCAATTATTACTTCATCGAACAACGATTTTGAGCTCTTGTTTTGATACATCTACCATTAGCCGCGCTTGATTGTCTTTTTTGTTCCTCCCACTGTGTATATAGTCTATCGAATGGACCATTGACAACGGAATGCAAAAAAAAAAATATATTGTCAAACAAATACCATCACGCGCGTTCGTAAATAATATACTTGCATGTAGGTGTATAGTTGAAAAGGAAAGGAGAGCCTCGTAACGTCGCGTTGTTTGTGTACAGGGGAGGCGCACGACATCGTTGTAAAAACATGTAAAGATAACGACCACTGGAGATATTGAACGAGTCCACACCGACTTGGACGCGTTTTTAGCAACTCGATAAGAAAAGAAAAAATCATTGTTTTGTAAGGAAAAAGCCCGAGCCGCGACCCACTTTTTCAGTGTGTCGCGCGTTGTTTGGTCAGTCGAGTCGGGAGATCATGTGATCAAACGTCACCGACTAAATCGACGTCCAAAATATTGTACCCTATTGTCTTCATTTCTCAGTCAACCCTCGTAAATCACGGTATAACCACGTACGCGCACGCAAAACCAATAATCACACGGCAGTGCAGCCAGCACGTACATATAAGCACGGATAATCCCCCCCGGAGTTGCGCAATGACGGCTCATCGGCCGATTAATGACACCGGAGGAGGGCCTCGCACACCCGAAACTCCGAGGAGTCGGCATCATCGCGAGGGGGGCCCCAGAGAAGTCGAGCTCGGGTGTTTTAATCTTTGCATAACACCACCGACCGCTGCATGGACAGGAACACACACACACACACACACACATATAGACTATATAATCTGTCCACAACGTTGCAGCGTATACAGGGCGAGGCTGCGCGGCGATTTGGGTGAAAGTGGGCCGAATTTTCCGTCTCCCTCTGCTCGCTCGTTTGCATGTACTTGTCTCTTCTTCTTGTTTTCTTCCTGAATGCATGTGGGTACACCGCGGTAGTAACACGGAGGGGCCGAGGGGGATGAGCAGCGATCGGCTTTTCGCTAAGGTGCACAGGTATATCGAAAACGGGTGCTCAAGCGAGTTATGCAAGCCCGGGGGGGGGGGGGCTGAATATTTTGGCCGCCGTCGGCGCCGAAGAAAAATTTCCGTGCATTACGCGTGGGTACGAATGCACGCACGCGAGGAGGAGGAGATGCATTTCAGCCCCGTATAAATAGCCCGTGGACCCGAGCCCGTCCTGCGCAGTCATCTCTCGGGCTTACCGCGAAGCGAACACACACAAGTGCCAGGTTTCACCCCAGTATACCCATCAAGGATCTCGAGGAGGAAAGATATACCGATTAGGAGCTCCACGATCATGTTCAAGGTGAGATCGATGCAGGTTGCGTACTTCGCCATCATAGTCATGTATAGTATAGTTTGAATACGCCCGCGTCCTCCCAACACTCAGAGCTTTCTATATCGTTTTTCAGCTGCTCGTCGTTGTGCTCGGCTGCTGTCTGATCCTAGCAAGCGCCGGTGTAATCAAGGACTACGGCACGAGCCAGGATCCACATTACCAGGAGCCCCGGCCCCAGTACCAGTTCCACTACAGCGTCGCGGACCACCTCACGGGTGACATAAAGGAGCAGAAGGAGCAGCGCGACGGCGACCGCGTCGAGGGCCAGTACTCGCTGGTCGAGCCCGACGGTACCCGGCGCATCGTCGACTACACCGCGAACGGGCACACCGGCTTCAACGCCGTCGTCCGCAAGGAGAGCGGCCACCAATACCACTCCTCGGCAGGTTACCTCTCGGGCTACCGGCAACACTACCAGCCGATCGCCCCTCCGGCCAGTACTTATGGGGGTTACCAATCGAGCCTCGATCCCGGCAAAAGCTCCTCTTTCGTCGCTGGTGGCACTGACTACTCGTCCCTTGGAATCAGCGACTACTCGGGTACCCTATCGTCCTTCGGCCACTCGGAGGTCAAGATCCAGCAGAAGCTCAACGCCGGCTACAGTAGCGCCCAGAGCCACGCGACCGAGATCAGCATCGATCACGTTCAGCCGGCCCGGTACTCTTCCCTCGACGCCGCCAGCCACCACCACCACCAGAGCTTCGGACACTCGGAGGTCAAATTCCAACGGGGCCTCGAGCCCGTCGATAATCCACACCAACAGCACGGCCTACTCTCGGGTTACTCCGGCAGCAGCAGCGAGTCTGGGGTAGACCACGTCGACAGCTCGGACGATGCTGGTTACCACTACGAGAAGCCGATCGTCAAGTTCGAGCTCCCGTCCAAGAGCTACGGTCTGTAAACGGGCTGTAGCATAGGTGCCAGTGTAAATAAGGTTTTCGGGGCAAAGGTCTATATGTTTGTGTATGGGTGTTAAAGAGTAAATTGATGCTATTTTTTTTTCCTTTTTTTTTTTTTTTTTTTTTTTTTTTAGTAGCTGATGATAAGAGCATTAGCTTTAAGTAGATTAGGTGACCGATGTGAAAGAGGTGCAATGTCAAGTGCCAATTCACAGTTGTACAGCCAAGCGGCTGGCGTGGCATGTAGAAAAAATAACTAATTTTTTTTTTTTTTTTTTTTTTTTCTTATGCACCTGCACAAACAACTATTTGGACGAGTTCTGGGTACAACTGCGTGTTCGAGAATTTTTACGCTCCGCGCGCAATTACGTGCTCTTGCGTGTATTTGTTGTAGATGTATATATTACGTAGGGGAGTAAAAGAGAGAAGAAAAAAAAAGATAAGAGAGCGACACGTGAAAACGAGAGAGTCCAAAAGTCGGGCGCGAGAAACGAGTTCTGCAGCTGGAAATTGAGGATGAGAAAGGATAAGGATAAAAAAGGGGAAACGAGGGATCGAGCAACTTTGCATTCAAAGGTGGAAGAACGGGTCGATGTGTTTTTTAATTATTTTTTTTTACAGTTTTTTTTTCCATGTCAAATTGCATGTAATGTGTTTGCGTGCACTGGCTGATAGATCTCACGATTATACCGATAAGAATTTATATGTTATGTATGATTTATAGTATATGCATGTTATGTGTTTATGTACATTTTTATACCACTAACTGTAAAAAAAAAAAAAAAAACGATCAAAAGTGGATGACATTTTCCACTTGATGCTCGTACGAATAAAAAAAAAAACAATAAAAAATATATAATTCCATACAAAAACATGATTAAATTATTCTTTATTTCTACTTTACACGCTTTGCATGGGTTAAGTGTTACATCACCTTCGTTTTAAAAAATTGATTCCTGATTCAAGTACCGTAGGAAACAAAATCATAAAAAATGTAGTATTTAAATAAGATATGAGCACTACAGTATTGTAAATTAACTGTTGGTACTTATTACTTTGTTCGTGAACATAAATACATTTTGATTGGACACTGACTCAGTTTTTCCATCCAACAAAGAAATTTCTAAAACAGAAGAAAAACCGGGCAGCAATCGTAGATTTCAGGACTGTTTACGATTAATCACTGGTTCACTTTCAAACTCCCGATACATAAAACGTGTCTTTGATTTGAATTTCAAAATCAAATTGATTGCGAGTTCATGTGCATGCCATTGGGTGAATACGTATACTCGGCGTCACACACGGTTGTAAGGAAACAATAGAATTTTTGATCGGACGTAAATTCACCGAGTAAAAGGACACATTAACGACAGGCGGTGGATTGCCGGTCCTTGAAACTTGAAATGTCACCGATCGAATTTGTACACATACTCGTTTATTGAATGGATCGTGCTCTCAAAGGAAATTATTCCTATCTGCGTTGAATATCGGGTCGGACAAAGTGACGCATATTTGTGGTATACGAAACGGGATTGAACAGTGTTGGAGTTTCATTGCACTACAGTATACATGTTTCATTTTGGGTTACGTATCAGGTATTGTTTACTCGTTATCTGTTGAGATTATGCAAACTTTAATCGACTGAATTGCAAAATTATTATTTTTACGGTATTTTTATAGTGTTTATTCGTTCAAGTAGTAACAGCCGTTTATGGTAAGACACAACCGAATAACTAAATGATGCTAGGGCTCTTTTTGATTAATTGAAGTTTTTGAATGATTTGTTAATCATTAGGATCATTGATACGCTAGAAAAAAAAATTCAACCGTGTAAGACAACCCATAGCTACATCAGTTCTAAGCAGTAATAGTCGGTAAAATAAAGAGAATTCACGTTTCGAAGTGTAACACTTTTTATTTTCCAAACAATTACAACGCATGGTACAATAAAATACTGTTTACTNAAAAAAAAAGAAAAACAAGAAGGAAGAAAAAACTACAAGAGATATTTTTCAAAGTTAAAATTTTAACAACGGCTTTTTTACTCAGCTACTTGTGTGAGTGCTTGGAGGCTGTGCTTCTTTTGTTTGATACTCCACTAACTAAAAACATTATCAAGTGACTGCACTGGATTCAAAACAAGCCAATATCATTGCTCACGGATGATTTACCGATTGAATTTTGTCATACCATGTAATGGTGATGGATTCATTGATCTCACCCACGTGATGCTTAGTCTTCTTTTCAAGCTGGCCGTAAATATAGATGAAATATTTAATGCTAACGTAGCATCTAAAATCACAAAAGTTAGGCCAATAAATAGTTTTATGCATTTGTTGTTTAGTCAAGTCGATATGTTTTTTAATTATAAATCTATATCACTTTCTTACAGTAAATACGCTGACAGAGCGTATTTTAAGACTTTATTAAGCTACGGACCTGTGAAAAAATTTTTTAACTCAACAAAAGCCTGATAGTGATACAATACGGCAACAAAGATGGATGATGTGGAGCTCGTGAAGTGGCGTACATTAGTACTACCAAAAAATTGATTTAACTTACTGGTCATTTTTATTGCGATATATGCAATCAGAAAAAGAAAATATAAATGGCGTCAAGGTGAAAATGCGATACGTAAGATCTTGCGATTCATTTTGCCTCTTAGACACTTTGAACTGGGTTTCAGTTAGTATAGTAGAAGGAAATATTTTAGTGAGCAGCGTTTAAATAATCCCATCTGTTTTGCCAGCCTACACTACAGTTCTGTCAAAGAGCATTTCAAATGATCTGCTCACGCATGTTAAAGTCAAGCTGTATTTATGGTGAAACATTGGATAATATTATTTTAGGCCTGTTATCTAAGCAAATAGTTGTTGGTTCTGGTAAATTTAAGTTTATAATGGCGAATATGTGATGAACCTATCTAACTCTTATCATTTCAATATTAGTTTTCTGTGTTTATACATTTACGGGGCTTTAGTTTCTTCCAAATCATTACAGCCAGACTTTTAATCGAATAATTAATGCATGGATGATAACTGTATTTTGTCTCTAGGTACTGGTGCTAACTTACTCAATAAAGGAAATTCATCGGCTAACGAATAGACTTGATTTCTTTGAGGGTAAAGCACTATTGAAAAGAATTTTTAAAATTTCAAATGATATTGGATGAAACACACGTAAAATTTACGCCAAAGGTTGTGAAAAACAGAACGATGCATACAAAATTACGAATTGTAAAGTAATAAGTTTTGTGAAATAAGATCTACCGTCTACCTTTCAAAGCCTTATCAACGGACATGTATTGCATATACTACGCATTAAAGATATATTATAAGTTATCAAAAATATTAAGCAGCTTTGAATAATGCTTCCAAGTTAAAGTACTAGCTCCGTAAGCATAATTTTGACAAGAAATCTCACAAGGGGACGTCCATAAATTACGTAACGCATATACGAGCTAAATTTATACCCTCCCTCCCCCATTGTAACGCATCCGTCACGAAACCTTACACCCTCCTCCCCAAAAAAAAACGTTACGAAACAAAAAAAAAAAAAAAAAAAAAAAAAAAAATTAGATTACAAACAAAACGAAAGGCTCCAACGACGCACAAACGGCACGACTCACCTTGAAAGCCATGTCCGAGCTGGTGCGAGGATTTTATATGCAGATGTCGAGCTGAGAGTAGACGAGAGACTGATGCAGCTACGACCGAATTTTAGACCTTATATAGCAACCGAAAGCTGCACGGACGGGCTCAGCCGAGCTGAAACGCAGTTTCGCAAGCTCCCGTATGGGCCCATGACGTTTAGTCCGAGGGGGGATCGCACGAGGGACAACAAAAAAAGGGGAAGGCGAAGAAAAAAACAGAGGAGAGAGAGAGAGAGAGGAAAAAAGGAAGGAACAATATTTACCTTAACGCGCGAGCGAGTGCGGTGTGGCCATTGTGGTGGTCGTCGCGAGAGGTGTACATGCATTAATTCTCATTACAGCGCGGACACACCGGTTGTCCTGTCTTTTTCTTCCTTCGCTTGCTTCGTACGATCGCGCACTCCGAGATAATGGCCGTGGTGACAATTGTGATTGTTATTGTTATGACTCAACGAGAGTGAGAAGCAGCGATTATGCGACACGCGCGCCGACAGGCTTGAGTAATTGAGCGGCTCTGATGAGACTTTTTATTGAGTTCTTGCGTGGTCCATAGCTTCTTTTCCTTTTTTTTTTTTTTTTTTTTTGTTGGTTTTGCCAATGCTGCAGTCGTACAATCGTCGGGTGCGATGGGTGTGATTTTTTTTAACGAAGGCAACAATCCATCGTCGAGTCAAATTTGGGTACTGAGGGATCGGCCATTGTGCAACGGTGAAAGCTATACATACCATGAACATTTTCTCATTTTTAGCGTATAAATCTTTTTTTTTTAATTTTTTTTTATTTAATATTCGCCTAGATGTGAGAGCACGTGAGAGTGGAAGGTAGGAAACAGTACGTTAACAAGAATTTAATTATTCAACGTAAACTCACTTTCCAAATGTAATGAGCTCAGCTGGCTATTTACATCCTAGCAAAGAGCATATAAGTATCAGTACACGCAGATTCTGCTCATGCGCCAGTCCTAATGGCTGCCTAATCCAAGGCCTAACTACTTGCAAAATCGCTAGTTTGCATCAGTAGTAAAAGCAAAGTTTGATCAGACGCTGCCTTCTTAAATTTTTTTTCTTCCCATCGTAGACGCGTACCAGTTGTTTTTATATTCTCTGGCAAAAGACACGACTAAAATCTCGCGATACGTCTCAATTGAGAAACAATACCCCCTTGTGATAATTGCCATCGATAAATTCGCGTGCGGGAAGGAATGTTAATTCGGCGGGGCGCTCCCCGACAGCTAAAGCCCGCACGCGCCTTCTCTCGGGCTGATTTACGGGGACAATTTTCACAATTCATACACCTGATTCCTTCTTGGTGTACGTAGCCTCCGGCCGAGCGGGAATGAGAGCTGATTCC